AGATATTTAAGTTTAAACGTAAAAAAACTATTATTTGGATAAAATATCCCTCAATAATCACATTTACATTTGAGTGCAAAAAAACGCAATTTGATTTTTTTCTAATGTAATTTGGCCTGTTAATAAATGCCAGTTTTTGGAAACAACCTTTTTCACATTATGTAAATCTCTGAGAAATTTGACAATTTGCGTTTTTTGCACTCAAATGTATCCAAGATTCTTTATTTATAAAACAATTGAAATTTCAATATTTATGCCGCTTTTATAATCTCTTGAACCAGTTTAATTTCATTTCATTTTTTTAGGTACTTAATTTTTAACAAACTTGCCCATTTTTTTTACCTTTATGATTACAATTCGCGACAAGAAGTTTGTAGCATTCAATTATTTTGTTGTCCCAATGTTATTTTTGTACGACTTTTAGTTTTTGTACAATAAATTAAAAAAAAAATGTTGTCATCAAAATGTCACCAAAAAATCAAGATATTTTAAAAGGATTTTTTTTAAATAAAAGTGTGGTCGGTAGTTTTGCGTTTGGATTAAATCTGACTGGAAATACAGAAGCCCCGCGATCTGTCTCTGTGATTTTTTTTAAATCAACAATGGGGTGAGATTATGCCGGAACCGGAACTGGCCATCACATCTACCAATTGTTATCGCCAAAAATCAAAACAAGTTTTTAAAGCATCGTTTTCTGGTCGCATACTTTGCGACATTATGGCTCTTATGAGAAATGAACGTAAGGAGTGAGTGTCCATCTAATTCGTGTTCAGATCAGGTTTCACAATGTGTTAGGACGTTAATAAACGTTAGAAAATATGACAATAACTTGTAAATGCCTTCTTTCTACCGGTCGCTTGCATACTGATCTAATCAGGACGCTATTATGTTTATTTGACACTGAATATTATTGTGCGACACACTAATACGCCAAAGAATACGTTGAAACACCAATAGGCGATTCATAATCAACGAACTTCTTTGTATCGACTCAAAATTATAAATAATTTTTTGACAACACTAAATTAAACGAATTTTTTATGTTGGCAACACCCACTATTGACAGATAGAGACTTCAATTTCCATTACCAACACAATTGTTAGTCCATGGGCGTCGTTACATTTTTTTTTAAAGAGGGGCAGTTTAAAAATACATATTTTATTGCAAACACAAAAATATGTTATACATAATAGAAACATAAAACCATTTTTTTTAACGGAAATTATAAATAAAACCATAAGACAGGAATCTCTAAAACCATAAGTTAAAAAAAATATAAAAAATAAAGAAATATAAAATTTATAAAAGTTAATCATAAAATAACACAAATCAGTAAATAACATGAACTAATAAATACTAAGAAAAATGTAACACTTGGAAATCAAAACATAAAATAAAAACTCTTTCAAAATACATTCAAAATAACAATAATCAATAGAAATAAAAAAATTAAAGAAATAAAAGTTTTAAATTTCGTTTTTCTCAACCAAAATCGTCTATGATAAAAAAGTTAAAAAATGTTACTAAAAAAATGTTTAAAAAAAAGAAGTAGCAAAATGAGCGTGTTTTTTACTAGACGTATGCAAAAAACAGCCATTTTGAATCGTGTTTTATACAAGATTTTTTCCAATTTGGTTGTGAAAAGCATAGGCATCAAATTCGAATTTAAAATCTGTGATTTCAATAATTTTCCAAAATCATACTAGGTCGTGGCGTTGCTATGAAAATAGTGTTATTTGTTTTCTTTATGTCACACTTTTTAACACTAGTGATAAAATAATGTCATATTTTATAACTAGTGATAAAATTAAACACATTTGACAACTAAAATGACATATCACAATGGTTGCTTTTCACAACAAAATTGGAAAAAAAATAGTTTACCGCTAACGGAATAAAATTTATTCCGAAAAAAATTATTATTGGCTAACTTCCAGGGGGGGGGCACATGCCCCAGCTTGCCACTATCAAACGACGTCCATGCCAGGAACATGGAGAAAATGTTTTAAAAATTCTATCAGTCAAAAAATTCTGACATTTATTATTTTGGCATTTGACATTTTTTTGTTTATTTTAACACTAGTGATAAAATAATGTCATATTTTATAACTAGTGATAAAATTAAACACATTTGACCACTAAAATGACATTTCACAACAAATTTGGAAAAAAAATTGTTTACCGCTAACTGAATTAAACTTATTTTGAAAAAATGTTTTAGGCACATAACCCACCTTGCCCCCCTCAAACGACGCCCATGATTGTTACTATTTTACAGAGATAAAGAAAATAGTGTTTCGTGTAATATAAGAAAAATTTTGATACAAAAATTCTGTCGTTTGCAAAACATCAAAATTAAATTTCTGATCTAAAATTGAGTTGGCAACAATGAGTAAAGTAAAAAAATGTTGCCAATTTAATATCATATTTTCATAGTTACTGGCTACCTTGATCAGTTTAATTGAACGCATGATTTTATTTATTGAAAAACAAGAATTTTTTACTAAAGAATAGAAAGAGAATTGTGGATTTATAAAAAAAACAACAATTAAAAGAAAAAAGGATTGTTTCACGAGGCCCCGGAGGGATTCGAACCCTCGATCTCCTGTTTACTAGACAGGCGCTTTAACCAACTAAGCCACGGCGCCGTGTGTTGCAAGACTGGGCCGCGTCCTTGCCCATCTTGTAATCACAAATCTTTGTCAATTCACAAATCCATTTGTGTTAAAATTTTCATTCGGATTTCGATTCGTGTTCACAATTAGGCCCTCCTGGGGGTGGTAATTTCGCGTCCCGAGCCTGTTATCAGCACGTGTCTGTAGTGAAAAGTGTCATTTTCGACCAATGGGCTTCCAGTTTAGTCACGTGCAATCCACAACCCAATGGCATGTGTTTTGATTCAATCTTCGCGGTTTGCGACGAGGTCAAGTGTGCGCATGTCAAAAAAGTTTGTTGTACGAGGTGGCGGACGTGTTTCGGCAACTCGAAACTCGGAATTTTCGAAAAAGTGTGAATATTTTGAAAAGAAAAGTGTCTATGAATACGACGGCAGGTGCCAAGATCCCGCCCATAACCATGAGCAAGCTGTACATCGGCAATTTACCGACGGAGACGAACGAGAACGCCCTCAGACAATTATTCCTCGAGCAAAACTTGTCTTGTACCAATATTTTGGTGAAACGTGGAGGTTATGCGTTCGTGGACTGCCCGGACCAGTCGTCCGCCGACAAAGCCATCGACAAACTCAACGGTAAGAATTGACAGCACAGCGACACTGTCACCTGTCATCAGTGTGGTTGGTGGTGTTGATGATGATGATGACACTGCACGGTGATTGACGGTGATTTTTTTCAAATCCGGCTGACCGGTAGATGCATTCCGCTGTGACAAAGCCGGTTTTTCGAAGGTGGGGGAAACGCTCCTTCGACGTATAAAAATTCCCGCCACAAATTCCAAACAACGTCACGTGGTTTCGCACGAAAATTTACACTCGACTTCCGGTAAACAACTGCACGTGTTTATTACACCACTGGCCACAAACTCAGTGGGCTGCGACTTTGACATCAAGTTGGCAGCATTGAATAATATGACGTTTGAACTTGATAGTCAGTGCTGCCACTTTATAAACAAAAACCAATTGATTGCACTGTTATGAGGATAAAATTTCAATTAAAATTATTTTTTCCTATGACCATGTACGATTTATTTTCGCACTGTGTGTTAGAAATCTAACGCACAATTCACACTCGAATGTTTTGTATTTTTTCATTCAACGTATTTTTTTTGTATCCATTATAAAAAATAAATCGTTATTCAACGTATTTTTGTATCCATTATAAAAAATAAATCGTTATGAAAAAAATATGTTCGTAAGAAAAAAATTATTTATGGTCGTAGGAAACATAGTGTACAAAACTTGCAGGAAAGTGTCTAACGCCTCGTGCGCAACTTTCCCGCTTGTGCGTTATTTATCACTTTCCGTGCTCGTTATGTAATATACTATTTTACACACATGTGATAGGTGAGGTTTGATGTTTAGACTTATGAAAATCATCTCAAGAACATTTTCATATAAACTTTCGTGTTCTACTTGAAAACAATGAAAAGAAAAATCTTGTGTGATCTTTGTAATTGTCTCAATTAAAAACGCATCAGTATTGCGTATATCACATACACGGTGATTCAAAAGGGTCGTCTACATGGTGATAGATGCTTTTTCTACGCCGCGTGGTTTCAAAATATGAGATAGCACATATTGGCAACGTTGAGTACAGTTTGAACCATCTTGTGCCTGTACTGAATAATTTAAAACGTTTAGAACTAACAAATTTTTGATGTATTGTTGCCGACTTTACCCTTTCAGTTTTTTCACGTTTTACTTTTTATTTTTGAATTTTTTTTTAATTATTTTTGATGCATATTTTGATGTCGTAAAATAAAAAATTACTCTTCCTAATTAAGAAAAAAATATAATATTAAACTTGCCTTTTTGAAGAGCTATAGTTTTCTAAGAAAAGTTGGTACGACAATTTGGTTTACAGTTTTGTGACTAATTTATTGGTTTAAAAAATCACCCAAGTGATTGTACGATCTTTTTGAATCACGCTGCATATATACAGGTTGTTCCAAAGAGTTGAAAAAGTCCATTAGTGACCTTTAAACGGTGAAATTTAAAAAAATTGCATAGGACATTGATAAATACTATAATCTAGTGCATCACCTAAAATTATTTTCATCCATACAGCATGTCCCAAACATTTTTGGACGTAGCCTTTTAAATAAACTTTTATTGTCGATTTTGCTTAGTTTTATAAATAAGACGTTTTATTGGCGGAAAGATGTACTTTTTAAAAATTTATTACACAAAAACTAAGACAGCTAGAACAATTTTTTTCTTACTTCTGCAAAGAAGATAGTACAGAATTTAAAGCTGTAGCAATTTTTTAGTGTTTTACATTTGTAAAGATTAATAAATTAGAAAGTTTGTTAAAAGTTAAATAACTTAAAAAAATTAAATCGATCATCCTATTTTTTATTTTTGCATCTAATAGATTGATAAATTGTCTATCTAAAAAAATAAACTTTTAATTTCTAGAATTGAAAAATGAAAAGATATTTAACATTTAATATTAATTGTAACAAGAATGCTTATGAATATCTGAGCATTGTTGATACTATGGCAACCATAGTAATTCCACTACGGATCACTTATCCGTTGATGTATTCAGAGATTGTAAAAGTCGTTATAAATATTGAAATTCGAATTATTTTATTGCAAAAGTAAAGAATAATGGATTCAGTTTAACACAAACGTGATTATTAAGTGATATTTCTTCCATCTCTTCTGCAACTGTGCACTTTTTGGCTACTGAAACAATAATAATAATTTTTGTTTAACGTTAAATATCTTTTTAATTATTGATTATAAATACCTAAAAGTAAATAATTTTAGAAAGACAATTTACTGGTTTTTGTGTAATAAATTTTTAAAAGTGCATGTTTTCGTTAAAAAACCTTTCTTATTTTTAAAACTAAGCAAAATCGACCAATAAAAGTTCAGCTTAAAAACATCGTCATAAAAATCTACATCCAAAAACGCTAAGAAACATATGGTGTTTCATTTAAAAAACCACAAGATTGTATTGTAACTTATTTTTGAGACACGCTGTATAGTTGAAAATAATTTTAAGCGATGGACTAGATTAGTCTCTATCAATGTCCTATATATATGTTTTTTTTAATTTTGCCATTTGAAGGTCACTAATGGACTTTTTCAACTTCCTGGGACACCCTGTATGAGTTTGTCTAAGGCCCACTTTCATAATCGAACGTAAATGTTGTTTAAAATGTGCTGTTTACTACGGAATTGTTGATAAAAATTTCACATTCTAAACCAACATTAACTTTAAAGTCTTTTTAATTCGATTATAAAACTGGCCCAAAGCCGTAAAAATTGAACTTTAGAACTTTTTTTTTTGACATCCAAATGGTAAAATGGTCTTCGAAGTTAACAAACTTAGCTTTTCTTGACTTTTTTTAGCCACTGTGAGCAAAAAAGAATGGCTTTTGACACCCGACATCAGAAAAAGATGTTAATAAATTGCTAAAAACAAGGTTTTAAAAACGCAAAGAAAACTTTGTCCATTCTCTGTAGTTTTGCCAAATTTGTAATTAAAAATGGCCATTTTTTTCTAACTACTTTGCTGCTGTTCAAATTTCAATTTTGCTTCTCAAAACTGACACTTTTAAGTACCTATCTTTAATTTTATTTTTATTTTAGCTAAGATTAAAAGTGAGAATGGTAACAAAAATTTTTTTCTCAAAAATGACATTAAAAATGACCTGTTTTAATCCAGCAGGAGAAAAATGTCTTTTTTTGTTTGTAATGAATAAAAAACGCAACATTTTATTACGTTTCTTTACTGTTATTTTATTTTGTACACTAATTAGATCAGTATTTTTTATTTTATTGATAATGTTCATTATGTTTGCTTGTGTAGATTTGATTAAGTATCAGAAATGAATAAAATTTTTGTTCTTGGAAGTCGTAAATTAATTTACGATTGAATTTTATTGAATACATTAAATATTCTTGTTCTCAAACACAGAAAAAGATAAGAAAATATTGAATTGTTGTTTAAAAATACAAATTCAGTAATTGAATATTTAAATTATAATGGCGATATTTGCTTCTCTCAAATTTAGATATTGGGCATTGACTATAAATAAATGTTACATTTGTTACCATTTTTACCATAGAAGTATTTCTCCATTTGCGAAAATAATATTCAAAAAAATCATTTTTTCGATTTTATATCTTTTTCTTATTTGAATTTAACGGAAGTGAAATGACAGATGAAAAGTTAAGTCCGTTAAGGATTATAACGGCCGTCAGTCATTAAGAATCAACTGCCTTCATGATGTTGTGATTTATTTTATGAATTCATGGAAAATACAAAATTTAAAGCTTTGCTCCTCTCTATTTAAAAAAAAAAACAAATTGAAAAAAATTGTACAAAACACTCGTTGCATATGCCATTATTTATTGCAGGTTTTAATTTTAATGGATCTTCGCTGGTTGTGGAACCGTCAGTAGCTTCAGGCAAAAAAAGGTAAGTTTTTAAGAATAATTAAAAGTAAAAATGATATTTTCGGCGAATCGTGACGCTACAAAGCAAAAGTGGTATTTATCAAATCCCATTTTATTGTATGCTATAGAATGTAGAATTTTCACCTGGGTTAAGCTGTAGCGTTTGAATCTATAAGCAGATAGGTGGTCAATGCCATTCAGGCACATGTTTGGGACTCTTAACTGCTTCTCGGAAGTGGCTTGTTGGTTGAAACAGGCCCCCAGTCTGTTTAATTCTTCCCACATTTCTAAAATTTGCATTCACCATTTTTCAATAAAATTAAATAATTACTAAATAAGTTAGTAAAAGTACGTTTTTATTGAACTGTTTACAGGGGGTCAATTGGTGGTTTTCCAGACGTGCCTTCAATGCAAGTCGGTAATGGATGGATGTAAGTACATGTAATTACCACATTATTTAGCTTTTATGTAAATGTAGTAGCTGTTTTGAGCTTTTTATTGCGTTGTTGTTTTTGTTTTTTTTGCCAAAATCGAAAAGTTGAATTTTTGACACGAGGGTGCGATTCTTGGTTTTATTAGGGAAAATCTGTGTCAGAGAGGGAGCGGGGCGTCCTTGGAGACGATATGCCGAGGGTCGAGGGCGAGGCTGTTAGTTATCGATCCAAAGTGAGGCGATTCCTCAAGCTTCTACCCTTATAGAGTTTCTGTTTTCAATTTTCTTTGTCGAGATGCTAATAGAAACGAATCAAGTTGGATATAAATAATTTATTTTATTTTTTGATAATTATGTTGGCAGTCTTTTAAATTTTTACTTTTCTTCTAAGAAATAAATTAATTGATAAACAAGAGGGTTTATTTTGAAAATTGGAATTGTGGAAACGTTGCCATATTTGTCACGACATCACCCGGAAATAAATTCGGTATTACGGTTGCAACAGATATTTTAAATAAGTGTATTTTATGTGTATGTACCCTATATTTACCGGGTCTTTTCCTGGAACACAAGTCGCTAATTAGTAGTTATTCGAGTGGACCTTTTATTCTATTGCTTTTGCCAAAAATGGGGCCATATGGACTTTTGCACCTGTCTTTTATTATTACTCATTTAATTTCAGTTTGTGGGTTTTTAGAACGTTCATTTAATTTGTCAGTTGAGCAACACATAAATTCCCCAATTTCTATATAAGATTTTAACCTTGGAATTTGTGCGCCAAATTTCCAACATAAGCTGTCTCGTTCTTTCCGATGAAAGAGAAGAATATTTTTTGCGTGTCGCTACTTCAAAGAATAATAGTAAAATGGTCAGAAATGGCCGTGGGTGTCCGGAACTGGTCTCATTCCTTTTCCTTACCTTACCTAACGAAACCCAAGCTTGCTACCTGCCCATTATTATCGCCGATACTGTTACTTTGGAATTTGTGTGCTGTAGCTGTCTATTTATTCTTTTTCTTTCGATGTACCTACCTGGAAAAGTGACAAAAATGGTGTATTATGTGCGGATTTGCTTTTACCAAAATTTTCAAGTTTTTACATTTGATTTGTATCTGTTTGGGGCAGGTTTTCGCAAGAAATTTATGAAGAATACAACACTGGAATAAATATGAAGCTGTGAATTAGATTGTTTTTTTTTGATCTTATTTTGGTGGGAGCAAAAATTTTGCATGTGTTTGTTCACCTTTCCTCAGAAAACCTGCCGAAAGAATGGATAATTACCAATCTCATTTATCAAAGCTGTTGTTTATGGATCTTTGAACAAATCTTGCAAAAAGGAAAAAATACTTAATTAGTTAATTCTGATAAATCGTTTTTTTTTTATTCATGCTAAAATGAAGTCTTATTTAATATTTAAAAAACACTGAATTAATAATAGTGATTGATTATTTATTAAATTGATTATGGATTTTTAATTAATACTTACTTGGATGCTATTTGATGTTAAATTCTCTTGAAAGTAATTTGGTGTAATAATTTTATTATTCTTACGTCTTTTTGATGAACAAAACGTATGGAACCAACCATTTTTTCAATCGTTGGTCTTTAAAAAATAATAATTAACCCATTTGATACCACAATTTTTTTTTTCAAATTTAGTAGTGCATTCATTGTTAGTTTATAAAATTTTTCAAAAAAAAAAAAAAACAAATTTAATTATTTGAGTTCAACGAGTTTATTTATCAAATTAATTCTAAACAAAATGTAATTCACCTTACTAAATATTTCTTCATTACATACCTGGGTACATAAATAACACAAAACAAGTACACACTTTCAATGTTTTGTACAGAAAAAAAAATTCCTTTCTAAGTGCTAACATTTTTTGGAAAAAAATGTATAAATATGCATCATATGAGTTATATTCAAAAATAGGAAACCAATTTTTTGTCAACTAGAATAGAGAATACAAAAATTTGTTTAGATTGTAACATAACATGGTGTCTCTAAAAATAGTTTGAAAACTCTATTTAAATGAGTGGGATGAAATTAAAATGCTATACAGGGTGCCAGAACTCACGCCCCAGAGCAAACAGGAACATGGAAAAAATGTTCAAAAAATTCTATCTGTCAAAAAATTGTGACCTTTTTTTGACGTTTGACATTTTGTTATATGTATTTAATGATATTGTATATGTTTTTTATAATTATTTACTGAATGTACAAAAAAATTTTCTAATAAAAGCCACAAATAACATTAAACAGAGTTACAATTTAGGATACAGCTTCTTTTTTTCCTCTTCTAATAGCCTGTAGCAAAAAAACTTGGAAAATTATTTTTCGAACAGAAATAGTAGAATCAAAGTGCAAAATTTAAACTCTCATATAACTTTTAAGTTTTTATAGATAGAATTTTTTAAACATTTTTTTCCATGTTTCTGGTATGTTACCTTACATGCCATTTTTCTCTGGGGTGTGATTGTGGCCCACCCTGTATAGGTATTAAAATAACAATTGAATCAGAAATTTTGCTAAATTCACAAATTGTCGTAGAGAAAAAATGCCAAGATAAGAGTATTTTATGTGCTTATAACATACGTTGTGATTGACGACGTTTTTTATAGAAGACCGTATATTAAGGGCAATATAAGAGGTTAACTTAAATACACCATAGAAACATAGAATTGGACAAAAATCATGTTTTGCGAATGAGATTTTTTGTTTTACGTTTTTTTTTTAGAATGGCAACTTAGGTACCTAAGTTGCCATTCTAAAAAAATATGAAACTTTTTCTCCTAAAAATTGGATAAAATATACATGTGTAGTTGTAATTTTTCTTATAAAAAAAAAGGTTTTACAGTGGGTTACCGCATTTGAAAAAAAAATAAAATTTTGCAGAACTCAAAACAAAACAAAAATTGAAAAAATTTATTTATGAGAAACGTTACATTTTTATGGTTCTTTACCATTCATCAATTAGTTTTTTCAAAAAAAAATGTTTTAGCAAAAAACGTTTGGTTTCATACTTTCTGTTCACCTGAAATTCGACAACTAAAAAACAGTATGTAAGTACCTAAGTTTTAGGTACTGAAATAAGACTTCAAATCGTTTATTCCAAAATATTTAACATAATTAAAAAAAATGTCACTTAATGTTGCAAAGTGTGTTTTTTGTTTTTTTTAATACTGGGGTTTCTTCACCCATCAAGTCGTTATCATCAGGACTGTTCCAAATCTGTTTGTAGGGATATTTTTACACATTTCTGTTTATCTTAAATTTTTTTGGTTTGGAATAATTGAAATTTCATAATTTCTGATAAATTTGATGATGAAATGTCTTACCGCCACCTGTCGCATGTTTTGGAATTTGCCGTTTAGACATCGAGCGTCAAGCACCATCACACAGGAAGTTGTTTGGCGCTTAGACAAAGAAAGCCCGAAACTTGGCTCCCCTAAACTCCCTTCTTCTAATTCGATCGCTCGAACGAACGGTTCGTAACGGATTTAGGAAAAGAAACTCGTTGAAAACATATCTCTTTAGTTAAAAATAAACGAGTTGTATTCCAATTTGATTTTTTTTGCGGCTTTAAGTATCCTTATTTAGTGCATTTGTAGAAATTGATGGTTGCTTTGCTTGTATATTAAATTGTATATTAAATTTGCCCATTAATTTTTAGGCGTGCGGGTGTCTCAGGACGTTAGAAATGGTTCGGTTCTTATATGGGTTTGGTGCAAAAGTTCCATCAAGTTGAGAGTTTAACATTGTTATTGACTGTGTAATGTAACTTCACGTTCTATTAATAAACCTTGTTATTACTTTGCATCTACCACATTTATTTATCTTCGCTTAGACGAATTTGTTGATTCCATTTTTAGTGGTTCAAATCAAGAGCAAAAACAAACTTTACTTACTGGGGATTTTACTCGTCTTAGTTGCATTGCTTTCCAATAAAAAAGCAAATTTTATTAAAAAAATAGAAATAGTCTATGATTATTTAGTAGGGGAAGGTGGGGTAAGTTAAGCCAAGTTATACGGCAAGGAAAATACGAAAATATTCTAATTGTTTTGCTTTGGGAAAGTCTGGACAAAAATAAGTAATTAACACGATTTCAAAATGTCTAGAATTTCTTGTTTTGGAACTGCTTTTGGTCCAGAACTGGTGCCCCAGAGAAAATTTTCAAGTAAGATAAGATACCAGGAACATGAAAAAAATGTTTAAAAAATTCTATCTGTCAAAAAATTTTGACCTTTTTTTATGTCTATTTATTGATACTGATGATCTTGTATATGTTTTTCTACAATTATTTTGTAAAGGTACAAACATTTTGCCAATGAAAGCCACAAATAACATTGAACAGAGCTAATTTAAAATGGTAAAAAATTAACATCAAAAAACAGAAATCAAGGAAAATGTGAAGATTGAAGCGAATAAATACGAAGTGAAAAAAGAAACAATGAAAAATTAAAGATCTTAAAATATTTAAGGGCAAAGAAAAATAATTTAATGATTGAAGATTGTGAAAGTTTATTGGATACAAAGCTTAATAAAAAAATTAAAAATGGGTAGAATCAACACGTAGAAATTTAAAAGATTGAAAGAAAGACTGAAAGTGAGAAAAATACACAGATCGACAGATATCTTAAAAATTTATAATACTGAAATATTAAGAATTTAAGATACCAGGAACATGAAAAAAATGTTTAAAAAATTCTATTTGTCAAAAAATTTTGACATTTATTATTTGACATTTGACTTGTTGGTCCATGAAAATGAAATGAAAGAAGACGGATTAAAAAACAAAAATCTCTAAGTACACGTTTTTATTTTAAATTGAAATAAGAGATCCTAATTAAACATAAAAAAATACAAATTAACTCACAAAAGTAACAAAAAATAAAATAAATTTTTAATACTTTTTATTGTTACAAATTTCAACAGGAGATGAATGTTCATTTTTAAAACAAAAATTTTCTATGAACATATAGGTATCGAAAAATG